CAGAAGATATCAAGAGAAGAGGTGGCAAGAATATACAGAAGAACTGTACAAAAAAGATCTTAATGACCCAGATAATCACAATGGTGTGATCACTCACCTAGAGCCAGACATCCTGGAAGTCAAGCGGGCCTTAGGAAGTATCACTATGAACAAAGCATGTGGAGGTGATGGAATTCCACTTAAGCTATTTCAAATCCTAGAAGATGATGCTGTGAAAGTGCTGCACTCAATATGCCAGCAAATCTGGAAAATGCAGCAGTGGCCACAGGACTGGAAAAGGTCAGTTTTCATTCCAATCCCAAAGAAAGGGAATGACAAAGAATGCTAAAGCTACCACACAATTGCACTCACCTCACACGATAGTAAAGAAACACTCAAAATTCTCCAAGCGAGACTTCAACAGTATGTGAAGTGTGAATTTCCAGATGTTCAAGCTAGGTTTAGAAAAGGCAGAGCACACAGAGATCAAATTGTTAACATCCGCTGGATCATCAAAAAAGGAAGAGAGTTCCAGAAAAACATCCATTTCTGCTTTATTGACTGCGCCAAAGCCTTTGACTCTGTGGACCACAATAAACTGTGGAAAATTCTGAAAGAGATGGGAATAACAGACCACCTGACCTCCCTCTTGAGAAACCTATATGCAGGTCAGGAAGCAACAGTTAGAACTGGACATGGAACAACAGACTGGTTCCAAACAGGAAAAGGAGTACATCAAGGCTGTATATTGTCACCCTGCTTATTTAACTTATATGCAGAGTACATCGTGAGAAACGCTGGGCTGGAAGAAGCACAAGCTGGAATCAAGGTTGCCGGGAGAAATATCAATAACCTCAGATATGCAGATAACACCCCCCTTATGGCAGAGTGAAGAAGAACTAAAGAGCCTCTTGATGAAGGTGAAAGAGGAGAGTGAAAAAGTTGGCTTAAAGCTCAACATTCAGAAGACTAACATCATGGCATCCAGTCCCATCACTTCATGGCAAATGCATGGGGAAACTGTGGAAACAGTGAAAGACTTTATTTTGGGGGGCTCCAAAATCACTGCAGATGGTGACTGCAGCCATGAAATTAAAAGACACTTACTCCGTGGAAGGAAAGTTATGACCACCCTAGAGAGCATATTAAAAAGCAGAGACATTACTTTTCCAACTACGGTCCGTCTAGTCAAGGCTATTGGTCGTTTTTCCAGTAATCATGTATGGATGTGAGAGTTGGACTATAAGGAAAGTTGAGCACTGAAGAATTGATGTTTTTGAACTGTGGTGTTGGAGAAGACTCTTGAGAGTCCCTTGGACTGCAAGGAGATCCAACCAATCCATCCTAAAGGAGATCAGTCCTTAGTCGTCATTGGAAGGATTGCTGTTGAAGCTGAAACTCCAGATCTTTGGCTACCTGATGTGAAGAGCTGAGTCATTTGAAAAGACCCTGATGCTGGGAAAGACTGAAAGCAGGAGGATGCCGGGAGCCAACACACGAGACCCTACCCCTAAAAAGGCCATAGGGGAGAAAACCTGACGGGCAAGGCGAATCAGGTTTTCAGGGGTTTTCGAAAAAGTCAGCTCACGAGACCCTACCCCTAACAAGGCCGTAAGGGAGAAAACCTGACGGGCAAGGCGGATCAGGTTTTCAGGGGTTTCGAAAAGGCCAGCTCATGAGATCCCACCCCTGACAAGGTCACGAGGCAAAAGCCTGACAGGCAAGGCAGATCAGGTTTTCAGGGACTTCGAAAAGCTGCCCCCGGCTCTCACCTTAAAGATGATATCTGTCTTTCTGATGCCTGCCTCAATGGACTCTGACACAGGCAGGAAGGCCTTCCCCAATCTCTTCCCAAATGAGAATCAATTTAGAACTTTAATCAATAAGTTTCCCAGGTGGTGGTATTTTATGAGATTATTCAGGGGGAAAGGAGGGTTTTAATTCAAACTCCTTTGCTGGTAGTTTGTTAGCCAAATGCATTTATGCCCTTGGTACTAATATGCATGATTGCTTATAATATCCTAATCATAAAATAGCATAAAGAACCTGATTATATAAAAGCCCTAATAGATATAGAGCCCTTTTAAGGGGTAAAGGAGTCCTATTAGAAAACATAAGAAAATTATTCTATAGGTGGTTATTGGGTTGTGATTTGCTTGCTGTGTTTTGCTTGCTGTATTTTTGCCTTTAATGTGCTAAAGTTGTGTTATAAAAACCACTGTTAATATAGTTAAAGATCTAGAGAAGTAAGAACTTAGCCCTAGTGTGGTAACAATGAGATGGTTGTTAACTGTCAGTCAGGAGTGCTAGGCAAAAGCTGCCTCACCAAAGTCGCAGTCTGTATGGGGTAAACTTCTTAGATAATCGCAACTGACAACTTTTGCAGAAAGATTAATTTTTGTATTAACAAGAATATAATTCTACTCTGTACTATTTCTCTATGACCCTGTTACCTTTCAGTTAAGGTCACCATAAAAACAAAAAATAGGTTTACAATCACCTGACCTGCATGAAATGTTAATAGCCTCAAGGCCAGAAGATCATGTGCTAAAAATTACTATAGAATTGGAAAGCAAAAAAATCCTGCTCTTCCTAAAAATCAAAATGATGTAATGCTAATAACCCTGTGTAATCATGAGTAAGCATCTTGTACCTTAAAAACGTTCTGTGAAAGGGTATAAAACGGGTTGTCAAAAAGTAAAACACAGATTTGGCCCTATCAAGGCTGGTCTCATGTGTCTTCTCTCTCTCGCCGACGCCGTTCATCCTGAGGGTACACCCTGGATCCTGCCGAGGCTGGACCCCGGCAGGAGGAGAAGGGGACGACAGACGATGAGATGACTGGATGGCATCACCGACTCAATGGACATGAGTTTGGGTAAACTCCGGGAGTTGGTGATGGACAGGGAGACCTGTCATGCTGTGGTCCATGGGGTCGCAAAGAGTTGGACACAACTGAGTGACTAAACTATATTGAACCGAACTAAACATAGAATCTTGAAAACCAAGCTAAGAAATCTAGCTAACATGATTAATTAAAGACCCCAGAGCAATGAGTTGCCATGAAAAAGGAAGCATTTAAGGAAAACTCATCTTGTAGCAGAACTTAGAATAGCTTTAAGGATAAATGAAATGGAAGCTGCGAAACCTATTAGGAAGTGAATAATAAATAAATCAGGTTCACACCTGTAGAAAAAGTACAAAAAGAATAGGTTTATTCATTATAGCAGGCAAAGCAGAAAGTCTGACAGAGAATACTTAAAGATTTTGTTTCTAAGTACTCCTGTCAAGGTTGTATATTGTCACCCTGCTTATTTAACTTATATGCAGAGTACATCATGAGAAACGCTGGGCTGGAAGAAGCGTTAAGTTGGAATCAAGACTGTCGGGAGAAACAGCAATAACCTCAGATATGCAGATGACACCATCCTTATGGCAGAAAGTGAAGAAGAACTAAGGAGCCTCTTGATAAAAGTGAAAGAGGAGAGTGAAAAGGTTGGCTTAAAGCTCAACATTCAGAAAACTAAGATTATGGCATCCAGTCCCATCACTTCATGGCAAATACATGGGGAAACAGTGAAAGATTTTATTTTTGGGGGCTCCAAAATCACTGCAGATGGTGACTGCAGCCATGAAATTAAAAGACACTTACTCCTTGGAAGGAAAGTTATGACCAACCTAGACACCATATTAAAAAGCAAAGACACTACTTTGTCAACAAAGGTCCGTCTTGTGAAGGTTATGGTTTTTCCAGTAATCATGTATGGATGTGAGAGTTGGACTATAAAGAAAGCTGAGCACAGAAGAATTGATGCTTTTGAACTGTGGTATTGGAGAAGACTCTTAAGAGTCCCTTGGACTGCAAGGAGATCCAACCAGTTCATCCTAAAGGAAATCAGTCCTGGATGTTCATTGGAAGGACTGATGTTGAAACTGATACTCCAATACTTTGGCCACCTGATGCGAAGAGCTGACTCATTTGAAAAGACCCTGATGCTGGGAAAGATTGAAGGCAGGAGAAGGGGATGACAGAGGATGAGATGGCTGGACGGCATCACTGACTCAATGGAGTTTGGTTAAACTCTGGGAGTTGGTGATGGACAGGGAGGCCTGCGTTTCATAGGGTCGCAAAGAGTCAGACACAACTGAGCAATTGAACTGAACTGAACAGACAAAAAGAAAAATATAGGGTTTTCAGTCAGCCAGATCTGGGTCAAATCTGTGCTATTAACTTTTTTTTGGCCGCACTGTACAGCATACAGGATTGTAGTTGCTGAATCAGGGATAAAACCTGTGCCCTTCACACTGGGAACAGAATCTTAACCACTGGACCACCTGGGAAGTCCCTGGGTTACATAACTTTAAAGAAGCTATTTAACTTCTCTGAGTCTTAAGTTTCCTTGGATATAAAAAGATTTACCTTGTTAGAATGTTGAGAGAGTAAATAAGAAAATACACAGAAAGCATCTATGTTCTTATACGTGGAACACAACAGCACTAAATAAATGTGATTTTTACCTCCCTCCCTTGGCTCCCTGCATTTTATGCCTTAACTATACTGAGAATTAAGCAGTACAGTAGGTCATCCGTCTACAAGTTGTCATGTTAGAGATGATAAAATTGAGTTAATGAGAAATTAAATGACATTCAATGGCCTACAACCAGCTACCTTCACTGCTGGCACCAGGGAATAGACATATAGACCATAAAACACATAAAAGATAGTTGGAAATCACAAACACAGACTCTTCTTTAAAGACATATCCTCTACTAATACAAATGAGGATCTGATTCATGAACTTAAAAACATTTAAATGTGACTGTTTCCTTAACAATATAAAAAGGGCAATCTGTTTTAAAAGAAAACAATTTTTCATGTACATACCAAATTCCAGTGTAGGCTGAATTTACAAATGGAGAACATTCCATTAGAGAAGGAAAATTAAAGGTATAAATTTCTTCTCTTAACATACATTGAATACACTGGAACTTCAGACACAGTCAGCAATAAATTTACTTACCTTCCATGAGCATGAAAATCTAGGCGTAAAAACTGGTCTTCATGTGAGACTGCTCTTTTGGCACGCTGGTGTTTTTGGTGTAATGAATCCACATCATATGATAATCCTTCATAATGTCTAATGTATTTATTTAAAGGATTTCCATACTGACCTACAAAAAATAAACAGTTTGAATTAATATCATTTCATGGTTTATTTCAGCTCTAAAATGATTCCACAATTATTCTGTATTAAACAACTGTTTCACCAATCTTAATACTTTATTTTCATAAACTTTTTAAATTTTTTGTTTTTGTTTGTGGTCATGTCACACAGCACATTTAGTTTCCTGACCAGGGATCAAACCCATGCTTCCTGCAAGTGGAAGCAGAGTCTTAACCACTGGATCACCAGGGAAGTCCCTAAAAGCTTATTATAATGGGAATTTTAACCACACACACAAGTGTTGATGTTAGCCATAGGTTTGTCTAAGACGTCCTTAATCAAGCTGAGGAAGTTCTCTTTTATTTAATTTTGCTGATAAAAACTACCAGGAAGAGATGTTGATCTTTGTCTGCATCTATTAAGATGATTATAACAGATAATCAATAAAAACTTACTCTATAGCACTAGGAACTATACCTATATGGGAAAAGAATTTGAAATATATATACATATATTTATGAATAAATGAATCACTTTGACATACACCTGAAACTAGCACAACACTGTAAATCAACTATATTGCAATAAAAATAAGTAAATAATTTTTTAAAAAGATGATTGTATGTTTTTTTCTTTTTAGTTTATTAATACGTAAAATCAAACTGACTTATTCTCATGGGTAGAAGAACTAAACAGACATTTCTCCAAAGACGTACAGATGGCCAACAGACACATGGAAAGGTGTTCAACATCACTAATTATTGGGGGTTCCCTGATGGCTCAGCAGGTAAAGAATCCGCCTGCCAATGCAGGGGACACAGCTTTGATCCCCGGTCTGGGAAGACTCCACATGCTGCAGAGCAACTAAGCCTGTGTAACACAACTACCGAGCCCATGTTCTAGGGCTCCCGAGCCATGGCTACTGAGTCTGCATGTCCTAGAGCCTGTGCTCCGTAACAAGTCATAGCAATGAGAAGCCCTGGTATCACAACAAAGGGTAGCCCCCTCTTTCCCACCACTAGAGAAAACCCACATGAGGCAAAGAATACCAAGTGAAACCAAAAGCAAATAATATATAAAAAAAATTTTAAGCTCTACAAGTAACAAATGGTAAAGAAGAAGGAAACTCTCCTACACTGTCAGTAGGAATGTAAGCTGATGCAACAGATACAGAGAATAGTATGGAGATTCCTCAAAAAAGTAAAACTAGAATTTCCATATAATCCAGCAATCTTACTCCTGGGAATATATCTGTACAAAGCTATAAATCAGGAATATATATGCACACCTATTTTCACAGCAGCACTATTCACAACAGTGAATACTGACATGGAAACAACTTAAATGTCCCTCAACAGATAAATGAATAAAGCTGTGGTACATGTATACAATGGAATCTGACTTAGCTATAAAAGAGAACAAAATAATGCCATTTGGATACAACTGGAGAATATCATACTAAGTGATCTTAAGTCAGAAAAAGAAAGACAAATACCATATGATATCACTTATATGTGGACAGACTCACAGACAGAGAACAGACTTGAGGCTGCCAAGGGTGGGGAAGGAGAAGGGATGGATTAAGCGGGAGCTTGAGGTTAGCAGAGGCAAACCATTATATACTGAAGAGAGAAAGAAGGTCCTACTGTATAGTATAAGGAACTGTATTCAATATCCTGTGATAAACATAATGGGAAACAATTTTTAAAAAAAGACTGCATATATATGTGTATAACTGAATCACTATGCTGTACAGCTGAAATTAACATTGTAAATAAGCTATACTTCATTTTTTTTTAAACTGTTGATTTTCTAATGTTAAACCACCCTTGCATTACCAATAAATCCAACTTGATTATAGTATATTGTGTTTTATAATAGTGTTAGATTTGATAAATTCTGTTTAGAATTTTTATTATGTATGTTCACGAGAGACACTAGTCTAGTTTTCTTGGACTGTCTTTGTCAAGTATTGGTGTCAATATAAAAAAACATTTTGCAAGTATTACCTCTTCCTCAATTTTCTGGACTAATTCATGTGGAACTGGTATTATTTCCTCCTTAAATGTTTGATAGAATTCACCAGTGAAGCCATCTTAGCCTGGAGTTTTCTTTTTTTTTTTTTCTTTTTTTTTTCATTTATTTTTATTAGTTGGAGGCTAATTACTTTACATCATTGCTGTGGTTTTTGTCATACATTGAAATGAATTAGCCATGGATTTACATGTATTCCCCATCCTGGTCCCCCCTCCCACCTCCCTCTCCACCCGATCCCTCTGGGTCTTCCCAGTGCACCAGGCCCGAGCACTTGTCTCATGCACCCAACCTGGGCTGGTGATCTGTTTCACCCTAGATAATATACGTGTTTCGATGCTGTTCTCTTGAAACATCCCACCCTCGCCTTCTCCCAGAGTCCACAAGTCTGTTCTATACATCGGAGTCTCTTTTTCTGTTTTGCATATAGGGTTATTGTTACCATCTTTGGAGTTTTCTTTGTGAAAGGTAATTAATGACATCAACTTGATATATAAACAGCTATTCTGGTTATCTATTTCTTGAGTGATCTTTGGTAAGAATTTGTCCATTTCACCTAAGTTTTTGAAGTTATGGAAATAAAGCCGCTCATAATATTCCCTTATTATGTTTTTTAATATCTTCGGAATCTATAATAATGTTACCTCCCTCATTCCAGATATCAGTAATCTATATCTTCTCTCTTTGGGTCCTAATCAAGATAGCTAGAGATTTATTGATTTGACTGATCTTCTCAAGAACCAACTTTTATCTCCTTTTATTTTCCTTCATTATTTTTCTGCTTCCTATTTTTTAATTTTCAATTTGATCTCTAGTTCTTTCTTTCCACTTTCTTTGAGTTGAATCACTCTATTTTTTTTTAGTGAAGACAATTGATATAAGTTTTCATTCCAATCCCGAAGAAGGGCAATGCCAAAGAATGTTCAAACAACAGAATGTTCAAAAAAACATTTTGAAAGTATCACCTCTTCTTCAATTGTCTGGAAAATTTATCTACTTCACAGTTACACTCATCTCACACATTAGCAAAGCAATGCTCAAAATTCAAGCTAGGCTTCAATAGTATGTGAACTGAGAACTTCCAGATGTTCAAACTGGATTTAGAAAAGGCAGAGGAACCCGAGATCAAATTGCCAACATCCGCTGGACCATTGAAAACACAAAAGAATTCCAGAAAAACATCTACTTCTGCTTCACTGACTATGCTAAAGCCTTTGACTGTGTGGATCACAACACTGTGGAAAATTCTTCAAGAAATGGGAATACCACACCACCACATCTGCCTCCTGCAAAACCTGTATGCAGGTCAAGAAGAAACAACAGTTAGAACTAGACATGGAACAACAGACTGGTTCCAAATTGGAAAAGGAGTACATCAAGACTCTATACTGTCACTCTGCTTATTTAACTTACATGCAGAGTACATCATGCGAAATGCTGGGCTGGATGAAGCACAAGCTGGAATCAAGATTGTAGAGAGAAACATCAATAACCTCAGATATGCAGATGACACAACCCTTATGGCAGAAAGCAAAGAGGAACTAAAGAGCCTCTTGATGAAAATGAGAGAGAGTGAAAAAGCTGGCTTAAAACTCAACATTCAAAAAACAAAGATCATGGCATCTGGTCCTATCACTTCATGGCAAATAGATAGGGAAACAATGGAAACAGTGACAGACTTAATTTTCTTGGGCTCCAAAACCACTGCAGATGGTGACTGCAGCCATGAAATTAAAAGACTATTGATCCTTGGAAGAAAAGCTATGACCAACCTAGACAGCATATTAAAAAGCAGAGACATTACTATGCCAACAAAGGTCTGTCTAGTCAAAGCTATGGTTTTTCCAGTAGTCATGTATGGCTGTGAGAGTTGGACCATAAAGAAAGCTCAGTGCCAAAGAATTGATGCTTTTGAACTGTAGTGTTAGAGAAGACTCTTGAGAGTCCACTGGACTGCAAAGAGGTCAAACCAGTCCATCTTAAAGGAAACCAGTCCTGAATATTCATTCATTGGAAGGACAGATTCTCAAGCTGAAGCTCCAATACTTTGGCCACCTGATTGGAAGAGGTGACTCATGAGAAAAGACCCTGATGATGGGAAAGACTGAAGACAGGAAGAGAAGGGGACGACAGAGGACAAGATGGTTGGATGGCATCACTGACTCAATGGACATGAGTTTGAGCAAGCTCCAGGAGATAGTGAAGTACAGAGAAGCCTGGCATGCTACAGTCCATGGGGTCTCAAAGAGTCGGACATGACTAAGCAACTGAACAAAAATGATTTAAGACTTCTGTATTCAGTTATTTTCTTTTCTATCCAGGTGCTATAAGTGTCCCCTTAATACTGTTTAAAAGCATCCCACAGATTTTGTTATGCTGTGTTACCATTTTCATTCTCTTCAATATACTTTATTTCCTTTTTAATTTCTTCTATAATTCATATGCTATTTAGATTCTATTCTATTCTATATGCTATTTAGATGCTATTAAGCCTGTTATTTAGATTCTATAATATGAGGAATTTTTCACATATCTGTTACTGACCTCTAAATTAATTCTACTATGCCCAGAGAACATACTTTGTATGACAATCCTTTTAAATACACTGAGATTTATTTTATGACCAAGAATGTGGTCTATCCTTGCAAATGTTTCATGCACAGCTGAAAAGAATGTATATTCTACTGTTAATGGATGAGTATTCCAAAAATGTCAACCCCTACACATATTGAGTACAGTGTTACATAAACAACAACCAGGTCAATTGGTTCGCAGTGTTGTTTAATCTTCTATATCCTTCATAATTTTCTACCTACTTGTTCTATTACTAACAGAAAGGCACTGAAATCTGTCTATGATTATGGCTTTTTCTAATTTCTCCTGGCAGTTCTTTGCTTAATTGATTTTTGAAGTTCTATTATAATGTGCATAAATGTTAATAATTTTGTGCCTTTTGGATTAATTCACTCCTTT